CGACCAGAATCAAAAACTTCGAACAACCAGCCGGATGAACAATAACCGTTGGATGAACAGTACTCCGTCGATGAACAGTAACCCCGTCGATGAACAGTGCTCCCGTCGGATGGACAATGTTTTTTTTTTATATATGATGTAAAAAGAGTAGGCAAAGAAAATAAAAGAAGGTTTGAACAAATCTTATGAAATTAATCTCCCATAACCTTGCTCTGATACCATGTTGAAGTAAAAGAATAAGAAGGCTTAACTATTGTGTTAGCCTCTCACACTATTTATAATAAAAACTTAGGAAACCCTAGGTATTACAAAAAAGCCTTAAATACCCTTTTAACACCTACTAATGTTAATACCATGACCTAAATACCCTTTAACAGAGTACAATAAAGGAATCAAGATTCAAGAGATTCAACCAAAATATCCTCAAAACAAGTTTTCTTTTGCACGGTTTCCTCTCAAGATTACACCAAGTAACTAGTGGTTACTGCTCAAAAAGAAGCAAACAAAGAACCCTCACAACACTCCATTTATAGATCTCAACAAGAACATTTAAAGAATGAAGGATTGCAAAAGAAAACTTAAAAAGGTTTACAAAGAGGAACGACAGCACAAAGAGAAGAAAATCCTAGAAGAATAATGGCAAATGAGGCATTTGGGTACCTATAAAAGACACGAACCCTGCTATGAGTACGGGATTTTTTCACAAAAAACATACAGAAATTTGAAATGAAGGGAAGGGATTGAAAGATTGGAGGAGGGAAAATACACACACACGGACGGGATTGAAGTATTTCAAATTTCTGGCAAAATCTGTCAAAAATCCTGTACTCAAGGAATTTTTCAAAAGACAGCCAGTTAGCCTCAAGTCAAGGGTTACAAGTGAACCACATGACATCATCTCAGCTTTCGATTTAATCTGAACTGAAGTCGCATAAAACACGAGAATGCACCAATGGGAGGCAGCCGGATCAGGCCTAAGTATGGATCACATCATTGGGCCTTTTTGGTTGAGTCCATTAAAGTGTTAAGCACATGGCCCAACAGATTTTCCCGACTGCAGAAAGATCTGTAGCTAGCGTCTCTACTATGACAGTCTCACCAAACTCAAATATTAAAAGCCACTCTTTGATCTTTCAGTGATCTCAAAATCCAAGAAGCTACTGATTTCTCATGGAAACTTTATCTGGTAAGATCCCAGAAGCTTACTGAGAATCTCCAAAAAGCATTTTTTAACTTGTTTCTGGGATCTTTTTACTCATAGACCTCATCCAGAACTTAGAACAAGTTGATTCCATAGCATCGATGAAGAATAACCTTAGAGAACACTATGCTACTTTCACTAGTCAAATCTGACATTTCCAGTGATGATTAAATGAACTAAGGGAAAACAGACAATTAGCTTAGTCTTGGAGTAATTATTAATATGAAGCTGACAGCATATAGTGGTACCGTTAGTTTTGCTGTAAAAGTGAAGGTGGCATTGACACTATAGCGCCTCTCTTTCTCGTCTTTATGTTTTTTCCTCTATAATAAATACCTTGACCTAAATGCTTAAGCAAGTAGTAAAAAGACGGTCCATCCAGTTCTAATCCCTACGAAACAAGTTCAATGCGACCTAACTCTAACAATGATCATTTTATTGAGAAGCAAACATAACAAGATAGACAAGAATTTAGGAGCAGTGATTTGAAAAACCTAAACTGAGCCCCTGTTTGAGGAATAGTGACTTTTTGGAAAACGTGCAGTTAAAAAATAAGGAAAAATTTTAGATTTACGTGTAATATTATTTTATTGGAGAATGTGGTTGAAAATAAGAAAGAAAAATACATTTCCACAAAAAAATGGAGCCCAAACAGGGACTAAATTTTTCAGCAATGGACTAATTATAAAACCAGAGCTTCTCTCTAGAAACAAAGTCAATCTGAATAACATTTTATTCTGGCAATCCACTTGTAGACAGTTCTCCTCCAAAAACCAATGTCAAACTTAGAGCATGTTCGGCTAAGCCTAAAAAGGTAAAGTTACTTAAAAGTACGTCTTTACTTATTTCTTAAAAAGTATAATTACTTTTTTTAGGCTAAGCCAAAACCTTCTCTAATTTTGTCATATGCGGGCTTTTCCAATATCCCCTCTGAAGTTCTTTGCTGTAGGGATTCAAATAAGAATGTGGCTTTAATTGTAACTCAAATTCTTCTGAGTCTTACAGAAGTTAATGTGCGAATACATAACTACTTTCCACCACACTTCAGGAATTCGAATATAACATCTATCCAATTCTTTTAGAATTTATAAATGGCTAACCTAATTCACTCATACAATGATCAAAACAGACAGCTAATGTGAATCGAAATCCTTGAAAAGGAAAACTATACTCAACCTATGCCAATGTTTACACATAATATTTATTAAGTGAAACTTGTCATTGATGATCTTGTAAGCCACTCAAAATAGAAAAACAAGATAAAACTTGGTGACGGAGGCAAAGCTCAAACCAGTGAAATTTGACAGTTGATAATAATATGAGCCGAAGCTTTTAAATAATTAAAGATACAGCTATAGGAGTGAACCAAGCAACAGCAATATTTCAAATACACAGAAAAAGAAAGTAGACACGTCATAACTGAACAGTGTTCACAATATGGTTAAAAGATTTGTTATGCTGAATAGGGAATACAAGTTTGGATTATGCACACAGTTACAACATATTTCTCTTTCCTTTTCGTTTGTATGAATGAAGTTTGAAACATGGATAAGAACACTCTCCTGTCCAGCTATTTATACGGCAACAAAATGTAGAAATCTATGCATGTAATCACACTTTTCATTAGAGACAAAAATTGAGTTGTAATCAACTACATGACAATCATCGTAAATGAAAAACCTTTTCTTACACAAATCAGGCGCTGGTAAGGTAGATTATCTACTGTATATACAGCAAGCAGTATCAATTCCTTTACATGTAGGAGACTTCTGGTTGTAAGAAGGGGTGGTGGTCAAAATTTGAACTGCTTGATCAGAGCCAAAAGTGAAGCATGTCCTGTATTCAATATCAATGCATTACCAAATAAGGCAAGTTGAAGTAAAAGAAATAAAAAGGAAATATGCAACGCTTCTCGCAAATAGAACAAACTATTTCCCATAACATCAACTGCATAAAATTGGAGATTAAAAATGGTAATTAACAGTACCTCCATAAGGGGAACTAAGGAGATCTCCTCCTCTTTCTGAGAGGACTTCTTCATTTTCCAACTCCAGATCTCATTATGTAATGAATGTATTTGCTCTTTGATCTCATTCAACAATTTCAGTTCTTCCATTCTATTAGTTGATTCTTGTGCTACAGCTCGTCTATCAGCATCAAGAATCTCTGACGCACCATTCTGTTGATTCAATTTGGATTTGCTAGTTGTGGCCCGTTCAACAGCTAAACGGCAGTCAATAGTAGAAAGATTATTTTCATGGTGAATGGATTTTAACAGTTTCTTCAGCCAGTCAGGTTCATCTTTATCACACAATTTAACAGCTTCTGGGTGAACAGGATCTGCTTTTTCAAGACTCTCATTATCTTGACAAGCTATCTGTTTTTCATCTTTAGCCTGCAATTCACAAGTTTTATGATTCTGATCAACTCGGGGGACTTCAAAAACATCATGGACATTAAAGGAACAAGGAGAACCCATAGTTGAACCATTTTCCAATAAATTCCCAGGAGATTCAGTTTGACCTATTTCATTGACAATGGCTACTATTTTTGGGTCAAATAGATTGCTAGTGCTTAGCTGGGGTGAAGGAGATCGCATCTTGGTCAAGTTAGCAGGATCATATGGATCGCTAGAGCTTAACTGTGAAGAAGGTGGTGAAGGAGAGCGTGTCTCATTTAGGAAGTTTCCATAGTTAACTCCAGCTATTTCTTTCACTCTCTCATCTAATTTTCTGATCTGTTCCCAGTAAGAATTAATATCACCGGTCGTGGAATTATCAGTCTTCTTTTCATTATATGAGGCCTGTCCATTTAATTCCCGCCCTCTGTTTTCCTCAACAATCTTAGAAATCAAATTTGTAGAACCCTCTCTATCAACAATACCCTTCTTTGGGTGAGAGAATTTGAGAGAGAGAGGCACGGAATTTCTCCTTCCAATGCTTTGAAGACTCGTGTCCCCAGCCAGAGTTTCATTTCTTTGCTTTAGATATTCGGGAAACTTGATCTCACCAACACCGGGATCTATACAATCCATGTTTAATAGTTTGTATCTATAGGCTCGAAGTTCATAATCTAAATTAGCCACCTCCATTTCTTTCTGATATATAACATATTCAAATATTGCTAAAGATTCTTCTGCATGATACATTTTCTCCTCTGCCAATCTTTTATATTGCTCGGCTTCCATTTTTACTGCAGCCTTTTCTCCCTGCAAACGCAATATCACAGATAAAGTTTCACTGGCTGCAGTCGAGGAGGCTTCTCTTTCTGCATCCAACTCATTGTAAAGCTTCTGGAGAAGCTGTTGTTGAGCACAAAGCAAGTCTTTTAAAGCAGAAATGTCAACCTCAGCCATCATGCAATTCTGAAACATGAAAACCAGACTTGTGTCTGAGGAAATAACAAAAGTATTAAAATTGTATCAACCAGTTTAATTTGATTCATTAGCAAAAGTTTTCAATGCAATGAAAAAATTTAATTAATATATTGTTCTAGAATTGTGACTATTGGCAAGAGATCCTAGGATTTCATTTGACAATTCTCTCCTTCAATCAATAATTGTTACCTAGTCCAGTGATCAAGAAAACATATGCTCTGTGATCATACTGACATGTTTAATAGGTAATTCAACCTCCACCCCTCTTCACCCCACACCACAAATCATCAGAAGAAGAACGAAAAGTAGAAGAACAGTGATCAAATTATCATAGAATCTACATTCTAAATTCTTGTTCTATTAATCACTGATCAAATTCATGTCCACAATATAAAAATTCTCAATAAAGGGCGATTAGTTCAGTTCTAAAAGTCAATCAAGAAACACTATACCATAGAAAATAAAAAGTATTTGTAAAATGAAAGAATTATCACCCGATTCTCAGCAGGAAAGATCTCTTCTTCTGGAAACAAGAAGCACTTCTTCCCTCTTCACAAACTCAACTTTTCCAATTAAAAAAATCCAATAATTTGGCTCTAAAAACCCAAGATAAAAAAAACACGAACGCAAAAACACAAAATGGAAGGATAACCCAACTGGGAAAAGAAATACGTGAATTGAGAAAAAAGAAAAGTCAACTCTGCAGTTATTCCAGGATATTGGATAAAAGATGAGTAAAAGCAAACTCCACTACAGAAAATTTGAAATAGAAGAGAAAAATAAGATCAGATCATGGTTTTTTTAGGCTTAACGTTGATAATAGATATATATACTTTATATCTTTTCAACTGTTTCTTGTTTTGTCTTTTACAAAAAGAAAGAGGCAAAATTATGATCAATCTTTCTTTCTTTCTTTCTTTTTCTTTTTTCTTTTTTTTTTTAAATCTTTACAAATGCGCCCACTTTTCAAAAGTAATAATGTTCCAAGGAACAAATAGAATCTGCATTTGGAGTATACATAAAATATGAAAAAGGGTTTCGATTTTTTCGCGGATTTGGCAATTTCAATTTATCAGAACCCTAATTCCAGGTTGCCAACGCAGAATCACGTTTTGACTGTTTTTTCACTAGCAATTTTGTAGATAATTTCTTACCGATAAATTTTTGCCACAAGATTGAAGCCAATAACTATGCGATATATTCTCCAGTGTCTTGAAAATTAAATAATAAGGGTGTGTTTGATTGAATTTATTTTCAATGAAAATGTCAGTTTTCTACCCAAATTTCTTATTTTTAAGAAAAACATTTTCTTTTGGGGGATATAGATTTTTTCCCTCAAAAGAAGGAAAACATTTTTTTTAGGAGATATTTTACATATCAATCAATCGTACGCTAAGTGTATATAATAATTGAAAGGGAAAATTATAGTTACGGTATCAAATCTTTTATTTTATCTCATACTTGATACAAATCTTTCGTTTGCTCTAGCCACATTATCAAACTTTTCAAAAATTCTTACCTAAAGATACATCCATTTGACTATTAGTTNATCATCGCCACCCAACATCTGCAAGGTTCGCGGCACAAAACCCACCCCAGTTGAGCAACCCCACGCTACCTCCACCACAATGATCACCAAGAAGGAGGGATTCTTGCGCGAGTTAGTATGAAAATCGAAGGAGAAATCACTCCTACTTGGTCGCCAAACTAAGTAGATTTTTCTCCCTAGTTTATCGTCACGCACAAGGGTGGGCCCAGGGGGGTCGGGGGGCACGTGCCCCCCAACTTTTGAGTTTTTTTTTTAAAATGTAAACTCATATTTTGTATCGATTGAAATATAAATTTTGATCTAAATCAAAGTTAACAATTAATTTTAATAACATATTTTATGGAATCCGTAACTATTAAACTTTTATCAAAATTTACTAAAAATTTGATTTTAATCTCCATTAAATATGGGCAAAATCACAATAAATTTTAATTTTTATCTCGCTTTTTAACAAAATCTTAACTCTCCATCAAACAATAAAAAATATTGCATTCTTAATATCAATTCGAAGTGTTCACGGTTTAATTTTCTATGTCGTTAATGGCGTACAAAACGATCAATCGTAGCAAATTCTACAACTTGTTAAAGTAAGCCGTTCAAAATTAGCATTTCGAAATTTTCGATAATATACTAACATTAAAAATTCTTCGACGATTGTATACTAATCGTATCTACAAATTGTTTATGTCATCTCAAAACTTATTTCGAGAACTATATTATGGGCATATCAAATAATCCAAACAGATATCGAAAATAGTTAAAAATGCATTCAACATGAGTTTTAAAGAAAGAGGTTTAACTCGCATTTTCTTTAAAAAAAATTTAATTATTTTATTAACATTTATTATTTTTGTAATACAAATTTTTCAATGTAATTTTCATCATTTTATTAGGAAATTTTATATGCAATATGACATAAAAAAATTTCGAAGTTTTACATCTGAAAAAGTCAATTCCTTGTAACTTTTCAAATGCAAAACTACATGGGGTATAATTTTTTTGAATATAAATTTTCGATTGTAAAATTTCTCCCAATTTCTTTCCAAATTCGATTGTGCCCCCTAACTTTTAAGTTCTGCGTCCGTCCCTGATCACACAAGGGGAGATATGTCCCCTAGTCTATAAGACCTAAATCCACTGGTTGGGTTGTAAATCAGAGGTTAGATTTCTGTTTCCATGATGCTTGAGTAAGTAACAAAACATCAATGTTTGGGTTGGGCAACATTGGGCAAGTTTGAAGGCTACAAAGTTCTTGGTAGGTCATTTCGTTTCCTTTTTAGACATACTTTTTGCAATGTATGGAAGTGTAAGGTGGATTATGCTCGGCTGAGTTGATCCACACGGCCTGATTTTCAGGCCGTGGTTGATTTTCAAGCTCAAGGTTTGCACGAGCAACAGAACAAAAGGTGACGACGAGTTTTTTGGTGCTCTTCTAGAGCTCCAAGAGGGCTTCTTTTGTGTTGGTGCCGACCTCGGGCGGACATTGGATGGAAGGGAGGATGACGAAGGGTGAAGAACAATTCGGTCTTTTCTACTTCTCGCGATAGTGGGTGGCAGAAGTTTCGAGATTTGCTGCTTCTCATGGTAGTGGGAGGTGGCGTTGATGCCAGTGCCAGTGCCAGTGGTTGATTTTCAGGGTGGGGTTTGTGAAGGAAACAACCCTTTTATTTTATTTCTTCATTTATTTTTCAAAATTATTTTATAATAAATTATAAAGTTACTATTTTGCCCTTATTACATTTGGTTAAATTCTACTATTTCGTTTAAGTAACAATCAAATTGATGGTTTTCATCAATTAGATTCCAAGTGTGAATATTTGAAAGGTTTGGTACCATGGATAACACAAATAAAATGTTTGGGTCAAATTCGAGACAAAATTAAAGATTTGATACCTTGGCTGCAATTCTCGTTAATTGAAACACCGCTGACAAAATTAAAGGTTTGATACCTTGGCTGCAATTCTCGTTAATTGAAACACCGCTTCATTAAAACAAAAATAAATTAGTTACTAAGAGCATTTTCAAGGGATTCTTTAAATACAAGATATTCTCTATTTTGAACATTCAATTCTTAAAATTATGTTACAAGAGACTTTTTATATTGAAATTTTAATTTAGAGGATTGGAGGGTCAAACATACTCTCTATAATTTAATGCATTCAAATTATTTCAATTTTCAATAAAGAAAAATAATATAATAATTTAAAGGAAAGATAGTTAAATATGAAAGATATAAAAAATAATAATATAACATATATCGAATAAATTAAGTAATAAATATTAGTCTAAAATTTCACGTTAAAACACACATAATACTATTAGAAATATTAGAAATGAACCAAAGTCTATAATTCTAATCACTATAATGCAACAACATGATTTAAATATTTTAACCTCTTAGTTCATGCTAGTTGACGCAACATTTGCAACTGTAACACAGAATTCATTCTCTACATAAAAATAAGAATATAGTACGTGAAGTAATCGCTAATTATTAAATGAAATAAAATAACTGAATAAAGAAAATAAATAAAAAAAATCAAATACGAGAATAAATTCTCTAACATTTTGTGAGTCATTTAATGATTCTACCTCATCTAAATATTGAAAAATTATTATAGATTTCTTCTTACTATGCTATCAATGTTTAGTGCAAATCACTGACTCAACCATATTTTTACTCAATGTAACTCTAAAAGGATTCAAGAATCTGACCATTAATAGAGAATGTAGACCTAGAAATAGTTGTGAATGTTTGAATAGCTGACACATCTTTAACAATTTTGAGAGAACAACCTTGTACTTGTTTGCTTTCAATTTATACCAAAAGCAATAAGTCGAAAGACACATTAGTCAAATCTTTAAAATGACAGTTAAGTAAGCTACCAAATTTTTCCCGTAATTAATAGTAAACTTTAGAAACTAAGGCCATGTTTGATGGACATTAAATTCCATGGAATTAAGAATTTCTTTTTCATTTTCCACCTAATATCATGTTTGATGAGCCCAAAGTTGATGGGAATTTCTTTCCTTGCTCACGCGTCTGTTTTCCTCTTTTTTGGTGGGAATTTATTTTCCAGTTAATTGTGATTTTTTTTTGGGCAATAGAAACAAATTTTACAACCAATTGTAAAAAAAATTCACTTTAATGAACAATTTTCATGTAAAACAAAGCCAAACGAACATTAACTTTCATAAAAAATGATTTTTTAGGAAAAAAAAATATATATTTTTTTTGTCTTTTTGGCAATGGAAACAAATTTTATAATCAATTGTGGAAAAAATTATTACTTTAATAGACAATTTTTATGTAAAACAAAGTCAAACGAACGCAATTTTAAAATTTTTCGGGGTAGAAAATTATACTAATCAAACACACTTAATTAACAATTCTTCCTCTGGAATTTATTTTCTAGGCAATTACTTCCTCTAGAATTCATTTTCTTTCCACCCATTTTCCACCATTACAATCAAACGGACCCTAAGTTAAAATTTAAATAATTAAATGAATGACCTGACCAGGAAGTTAGGACGTAAATAAACAAAAAGTGATATCCATTGAAAATTTAAGGGAGCACGAAAAAATTAGAAGAAAATAACATAACTATCAATAAAATATAGCAAATAATTGTTAAGAAATAAGAAAATTAGGATAAGCTAACTTGAAAATTTAGTCGCAATTCGAAAAAAATTATTAGGGAAAGGAAAAAAAAAGTGAGACTAAATTAAAATCTAAATGTAGTTATGAATATGATTCGACAGCAGTTGTTTAACGCTTCATCCAATTTGAGAGTTTTGCATTCACAATTGCAATGACTAATGGGTATTTGATTATGTTTTCATTAATTAATTGGGATGGATAAGTATCTATTTGTGTATTGAGTTTAATTGGATTATACCTAATATAGATGTACCTTTTTAATTGGGATGTATTTATTTTTAATTGAATTTGATAAAATTTAATTTAATTTGTTTTCAAATTTTTTTGTTAAAACGATTTGACGGCTTAAAACGATTTATAAATGTTGAAACCTTAACCAAACCGCTGTAGTTTGGTTCAGCAAAATCAAAATGTTGACATACTCACGTAAATCCAAACCAACGATTTCGGAAAATCGTTTTCGATTTGATTTTACAGTTTGATGGTTTCGTTGTTCAGCTATAGTAATAATTTTGAGGGTTATAGGGGTATAATTATTATACACTAATAAATTTATCATTTATAACACCGTTATACTTCATCTTAATGATCGAGAGTGGGAGTTTTTAAATTACTTTGAATGCATGAAAATAAATTTAAAAAAAAAAATGCTTGGTCCAACTCAATTAAAGCTATGTATAAATTATCTTGCTTCTTTTTCCGTTTAAGAGTGGAAGGAAACCAGCCAAGTGTGTGGCTTGACCATTGGACATTATGACTGTGATTACTCATCATGATTCCCGAATCTTTTACCAGCCAAGTGTGTGGTACAGTATAATGGCTTGACCATTGGACATTATGACTGTGATTACTCATCGTGATCCGAATCTACGGACTTTAATCATTCATTTTGTGGGACAGATTATGAGTTAATCATCACTAAATGTGGGGTCTGATTAACAATAAAATATATTTTAAAAAAATGCGAAATTCAATGTCCTTCCTGGGTCCCATACAAGTTTTCATTTTTTTATAGAAAATAAAAGGTCGTAAATGGGGTCCACATTTTGGCCGACAATTGACTCCTTGCATAGAAACGAGGACTTTGAATTAAGACGAAGAGTAAAGAACTTGTAAAGATGCACTAAATGATAATATGAAGGATTCAAATTCAAGTACGAGAACACACAGTTATGGTGTCAAAATGAATAGTAAGAATTATATTGTGGTGTCAACATTGGAATAGGTGTTCTTCATGGAATGATTAAATCGTAGTGTCAACTGAAAACTGTCTACTTAATTGTCTTTGAGAAGATTGTGAATTTTTGAGTGTTCTTAGTAGAGTAAGCTTTTAGAATTTTGTAGAAGGTATGTGCAAATATCTTACAAAGTGTGCCGAGGTTAAATCTCTATAGTATAATAGGATAAATTACAGAAATACGATAAATCTCCATCTTCAAATTTAATGAATCAGAACTATAACAAATCGAGGTGGAAAATAGAGTTTTAAAACGTGTTTGATTTAAAGTTCACATGGGAACAAGAGTCCTTTAGGTAGGTAGTCCATACTTACAAATCATGAGACTAGAGATGTTGAAGATGGTTCTAGTATTATTCTCTTGAATCTCTAAGAGTGCTACAACGACATTTACAACAAGTGTAGCACTCTTAACAGTCATTACATTATCTACTGTCACATGCAATTATGTCAAATTTTGTGTCAAATCCTTCTTGTAAAGTAGCTTTATCATGTTTCCTATTATTGGCAGAAGATAAGATATGATGTTTTTCTCTTTCTTCGAGTTTTTTTTTTTTTACTTGGAAATTACTGTCATCTCAAAACATCATATAAATGTCACTAGCCAATAGTTGTTAAATCGAGTAAATTCTAGTGGCTTGCCAATATCAACACAAGTATGCGACCATACAAAGTTATGTATTGGTAATCAAGAAAATTGAACAGGTCTCTTTTGGAATAATTTACAAAATCAAGGTGCCAACACACAATAAAAAATAGATTATATACTTCTTTATTTATTTTTATTGTCTTAGGTTGCTACTTAACTGAATTTTCAAAATTTTAAAAGAAAAATAAAAAAATGGATAAATTAAACAAATGGGAAACCAATTTACAACATGATAATAGAAAATCGAGTATATTGGGGCAGCAAACTTCATGGCAACAAGCTGCTCAACAAATTCCTACAAATCCTAGCTGATCAAAGTTATTTTGAATGTTACAAATCGCATAAATATAGTAAGTCCAGTATTGAGATCTTCAACTACTGCTTGCATTCTGATCATTTCGCTCATGTTTCCTTCCATTAGTGAATTTTAAACCCTTTACTGTATGCGTTGAACGGAGAATTTTCAGATTTAATGATTTGAGATGAGTGGAACCTACAGCTTTCTGTAGGATAGTTATAGAGAAACCATCATTAATCGTATTATGTGTTAGGTTTATATTTTGTATTGGCGATTCTGTGAACAAATTGACCAACTCGAGCAATTATAAAAGCTTAAGGACTAAATTGTAAAGTTTCATAGTTGGTAGATTAGGATTAGGGTTTGGAGTTATGTGTTTGGAATAAGAAGAATTCACGTCGAATTTTTGCTAGCTGCTCACCGAAATGTTGCTCGGGCGACTGAAGCAAAACCTACTTCGCTCGATTCTCAACCAACTGTCGCTCGAGCGAGAATGCCTCTTTGCTCGAGCGACTAATTTTCTGGAAAACCTAATTTTCCTTTTCCGAGACTTTAAGTCGGTTCATATAACCTAATTCGTCCAACCTATATATTGAAAGCATCGTATTTTCCGTGGAGAAGATTGAACAACATATTATTCAAGAAGAATACATCCACAGAAGATCAAAGTTCAATCATTCATTGTTCATGAGTATTTTTCATTGAAAACATCAAAGCAATCAAATCAAACACTAAATT